GTGACCTCAACAAGCTGTCTTTGACCCACGGCAGTGGGGCTGGAGGTCACCTGCAGGGCACATGCACTTGCTGCCATGGGAATACAGCAGGAGGAGTGCTGCAGCTCTGCCTTTTGGCAATAACCAGGAGCTCTTTGTGCTGAAGAAGGCAGCATTCAGCCCAGAAGCTGCTCAGTCACCAAACATTTGTCTCACAGCCTCTCACCTGCCTGGCCCTGGGGACAGATGTAAGGACAGGGAAGAATCTGGAGTGGCCCCTTGTGGAAATTCCCCAACTCACAGGATGATTGCATCTCCCCCATGACCACAACCTGCCTCCAACACACAGCACTGCCCTTGCTGCCTACCAGCCTCATTTCACTGGGCCCCCAAGCAGCCCACTGCTGGCTGAGAGCCTCTCTGAAAGCTGATGATAGCTTTCCGGCACAGGAAAGCAGCGTGACTGCAAAGGGTGAGAGGCCCCTTTCTGCCATATGGTTCCCATTAGCAGCCCTGTGAAGTCAGTGTTTACTGCTGGGATCACTGTGCCATGGCCAGAGGCTTTCCCAAAGACCAAGCACAGTGTGTGCGTGGGGTGTGGGGGGAGGATCCAGGCCCCCTCCCTCTCCATCCCAAGAAGGTGCCTTTTCCCTAGCAGCATGGCATGGGTTCCACTCCTCAGGGGGGCTATCAGGCATCTCCCCCATGAAATTTGGTGCTGCTGACGTCCCCATGACCACGTGTAGGATTAGTGCAAACACCTGCCATGGCCAACCCATGCTGTGAAACAAATCAGCATCAAACAGGCCAGCATCAGCCCAGGAACACAACACCACCAGCGCTGCTGCAGCTTCTCAGGCATGGAAAGGGGCAGCAAGCTGCAGCTGTGGGGGGACAACAGAGCAAGCGTGGTGCTCATGGCTCCAGCCTTGGCAGACCTCAAGCCATGGTGGTGATGCGTTGGCAGTTGGACCTGATGGTCTCAGTGCTCTTTTCTAGCCTTAAGGATTCCATGATTCTAAGTTGGCTTCAGATCCGGGCTCCTTGTGTGGCTCCAGGCCAACACTGGTGTTTGGGACCCAACCCAGGTTCCTGTTGCTGCGATCCAGGACAGAGGGCTCTGGAGGGAACCAGATGGGCCACTCATGCAGCCCCCACGACCCCACTCAGCCCCACCACGCAGAGCTTCCCCTCTCATCCACTTTCCATCCACGTTCCGTGCTGTCTCTTGAAAGGCTGCCAGCGGGCAGGAAATCTGCAGCTGAAATGCTGAGGGATGCTGACAAGGAATAGTTGTGGGGAGGAACAGGGCTGCCTTTGTCAGGGCAACAATGGAGGACCCACAGGAGCCAGGGGAAGCCCCTGCCCAGCCATTCTGCTCTCCTACCTTCAGCCCTGGGAGCACCAGGTCCAGCCCTGCCCTGAGGATGCTGCTGGGATCCATCTGTTTTCCAGCAGTGGGAACTGAAGCACAGAGTAGCCCATCCCTTGGACTAAAGCCATGTTTTATGGCATCCATTAAGCATCATGAAGGGAATCTCTGCTCCCTGGGTTCAGCCATCTCGTTCGGAGTTCAGAGAGAGTGGACAAATGCAGCAGGGAGCTGCTGGGTGGGGGAGAGGAGATTCTTTTCCAGGCAGAGAAATCTCTTTCATTAGTGCCAGATGATAGAGCAGGCAGCAGCAGTCAGAATCACAGGTTGGGAGATTCAGATTGGGCATTGGGCACAAATGCTTCATAAGAAGGAAGGCTTGGAAGCTCTGCAGCGTGGTGCTAATTAAGTGCAGTACACACGAGCACAGTCATAGCAGTTATGCCCCTTCTCAGTTTTTCCTTAGTCTTAGAAGACTTCCCCCACGTCCTACCCAGAAACTCCACCTCCCTACCAACAGTTTCCTACCAACATGTTTATCCCTTTACTCTCATTGTGGAATTTTGCTCCCAGTTTGCCCACTATAACTTTTGCCTCCCAAAAGTACTCATGGAGGGTAAGCCTATCAGCCTCCTCTTTTTGGCCACGAGAAACCAATCCCTTTAATCTGTTCCTATAGGAGAAGTTCTCCATTCCTTCTGCTACACCAGAGGAGGGCTCAGACCTTTGAATCCTGCTTGGACCCCTTCCCTGGCAGCACACATCTGTGCTGATGCACTCTTTCTCTGTCACCTCTGCACTAATCCCAAATGCTCACTCTCCTGCAGTGCCCTCCGCTCGCTGGCCATATGGAGTGGGCTTTGGGCACACCAGAGGAGTGAGAAATATATTGTGTATTTAATGATTGCAGTAATCCCTTCACCCAGATTTAACGTTTTCCATCCCAGAGCTTTGCTAATAGCTAGGTAAGCTCTGCAACATTCCCAGATGGCAGATAAAAAGATGACTTTAGTGGAAAGCAAAAGGCAGACATGGGAACATGGCAGCTGCCTGACAATGGGCTGCAAGAGCTGAGGATGGGCAAAAAGGAAAAGGAAAACCCCTCGCAGCTGGGGCTGAAGGGACTGCTTGCAGGCTCACAGACCTGCAGGAGGAAACCACAAATGGAACTCCCTTCCCTAATGAGAAGTCTCATGGGACTTTTGGTGACCAAAAAAGGCCAGCACTTTTGTTGTGAGCCTGATGGAAACGAAGATGCATGCAATCACTGCACACCCCGTGCTGAGGTGGACCCTCACTGCTCACCTGGGAGTTTGCTTCCTGCAGAACCCCACGGGGAGAGGGCAGCAGCACCGAGGCTGTAGTTTCAGACTACACTCCATCAGTTACCCTGCCATTATTTTTTAATCAGCATTCATAATGCTGCAGGCATGTCGTCCCTGGCCCTAAATACACAGCAGCTCAGCTGGGAGAGCCCTCGTGTGATGCTTTTGGTGCACAAAGCCCCATTTCTAAAGCACAATGTAGGTTGGCACACAACTCCAGCATACCAAAGCAGATGCCCACCCCATCAAAACCAGTTGAAAACCAATAAAAACATCATCTACATGGTATCTTAGCTGGTCTGAGGGATCCAAAGGGATTATAAGGATCAGATCTTCCCTTCACCCAATGGTTACAGCACAGGGCTGCCACCTGGGAGCCCTGGGGCTGATCCTGGCTGTAGTTTTTGGGTGATGCTGAACACAACGTTTTGGTTTGGTTTTTTTTTTTATCCATTCCCTTTCTCTCTACTGAAAGCAGAGCTGCTTCTCTTTGTGAAGCCCGGAGGGGGTCCCCAGCTGCTCAGGGCTGTGTCAGAGCTGAGGGTGCATTCATGTTGGGATCAAATCTCACAGTCATGCAACAGCCTCCTGAGGGGGTGATGGAAGACCTGTGGCTGGAGGGATGTAAAGCAGGGCTGGATGGGTGCTGGGAGACACAGCACGGAGAGGCAGCAGCCAAGGGGGAGGGGGCTGTAGGGGAGCAGGGATCTAACAGGTTTTCTTCTATCTTTGCTCTTTCTGCTCAGCTTAAGAAAATGGATCTGTCCAACCCCACCACACCCCCAAGCACGGGATGCAGCACACGACAAAGAGGGAGTTCAGCACAGCTGGGGAGCCCCAAAGTGCTGCACCCCCCTCCCCAAGCACCGCACTCCCAGACCCTATTCACTCCTTTCCCCACTCAGCACCGGGTGCGGACCCCTCTTCCCCTCCTACCCCCCCAACAGAATCCCAATGCCAAAAGGCACCCAGTGCCCAGACAGCATCCCCCGCGTGCTCCCCCACCCTACAGTCCCTCGACCGAACCGCTTCCCAGAGCAAAAGTTCCTCCCTGGAGGGCCACGCATGCATTTTTCGGGTGGGGGGGGGGGGGGGGGGGG